TACCTTATTATTGATGGATTCATGTTTAATCATTGTATGTGTGACCTCTGTCAGTTTACACAGTTAACCACATGAACATATTATTGTATAAAAATACATTGATAATATTATTTCATTCACTCTAGCTCCTATTAATATCAGTGTTTCTGTATCTGCAGTCATTATATTTCACTATTGTACATAGCAGGAATGAATTGGTAATAATTAGTATCATAGGTATACGTCAAATGCTCTCATTAAATATTCATCATATGAATTACTTACTTTATTGTAATATTATCATTACTAATTATCATTACATATTCAATACACATTGTATCTACTACTGTCTACATGTACTTACTGAGTTCAATAACTGCTGTATCAGTGCATGATGTGTATCCTCCAAACTCAATTATCCAGTTAGTAGTTGGGGTCACACTCCACACTGACAGAGAATGCCAGTATCTGTTAGTGACATTGACTGGTAGATTAATCTATAAAATTAAAATGATAATAATTAATTTGTGTATGAAATATTAATTGATTTGATATCTGGTTAATAAACACAATAACTAACTCACAGTTTTATAGTCTGCACAGTGTGTTTTATGTAACACAAAGATCACATAATAAAATTAATAATACACAATATATTAATAGACAAGTATACACAACTGAGTCTGTTATTATATCATGTGAGTCCTCAATTAAGAACTTACTAAGTGTCTGCATGTACACACATACACATACACATACTAATGACACACTAACACACATACATGTACATCTATACATGCATACACATATAAAGCTACATGTAAAGCATGCATAATTGCTCACACACATACACACACATGTACATGTTACATGTACACATGATGTACGTGTTAGTACACACATACACATATTAAAACATATGCACACATACACACAAATACATGTATGTACATACACAATCTACACAATGTATATAAAATACAATTTATTTTAATTCCAGCATTGACACTCTATCAGTTGTGAATCCATCTTTACACACACACAGACAGACACATGTATATTCACACATATTTAGGTAAAGAAACAAACACAAAACACAAAAAGATACAAACACACATTCACACTAAAAACAGACACACACACATATACTGAATACCAGCATTATTCATCAGTAGTTTTCACTGAGTATCATAATATGTACATGTACATTAC